CACAATGGGTGATTATCTCTAAACGACCATTTATCTTCTGAGGGCGGGAGTGGTTGATTTCAGCGAAAAAAATACCCTCCAAATAGTCTTAAAGCGAAGAAAATTTTCACCTTGAGTTAACAGACGAAATATGCAGGGAAAAAGTCGTAAGCTTGGACCGTTTTTGCTCAAACCGAATCACCCATTCCCCTAGCCCCTCAGCAATTATATTTTCGCTTACTATTAACTTCATCATGTAAGCGAGTCAATGTTCAAACCATGCACGTGGTTGAGGTTGCAACCGTTGGCTATTTCCTAAAGTCGAACAATTTTAAGTGAAAGCTGCTGATTTGCGCTTTCTGATAATATTGTCCATTTTGTGAAACTAAGGGCGCTTTCCATTTGTCAGAACCGACCGGCAAGGCCATTCCCGCCGTAATGAGAATTTCACTTTTAATCAAAGCTATCCAGCCAGATCAGTCAAATCCTAAACAGCATACACGAACGAAATCGTTTTTCATCAAAAATTCTTAGAAAAAGCCTATTTCATTTTCAAAATTACCGGTCCGGCCATGGTCCGGCCGGCCAATTCTGACCTTTTGGAAAGCGCTCTTAGTTCCCTTTGACATCTGTAATTTTAAAAAGAGGTATACTACGCTGGCGAATGAAAGGAAAAAAAAAAGGAAACGAGAAATTGTTTTGTTCCACGACGAAAAGATAAAACGTTGAGTGAAGTGAAATCACGGTAATCTGGCATTAACATTACAGAACAGGAAATAGTTACAAAACTGAAACGTATAACTAATTTTAAAATGGAATTCACTACTAGCCTTTTACTTTTACGTGAAAATTAAGCGCAACCTATCACCAGAGCTTGCTCAAGCCTACTTACAAAGAAAATTATCTCTACAAACTGTACACACAATACCGAGCAAGAAGAAAGCTATATAAAAATCAAGCCGGGAAGGGAAGTAAGTAGAAATCAAGTGATCATGACAATGTATTAACTTAAATAATCTTTTGAAAATTTGCGTCTGCGAACGAAACATTATTGAACAAATCTCTAATGATCAAGAGGCATTTAATTGGTTGTGGCATTAGGTTGGCATTGGAGAAAGCCAACGTCTTGGTGTGGGATTGGCCATTTGGAGTTTGCTCTAGAGACTGTCGGGGTTGGTGTTGTTTCGAATTGCGCACTGTTTTGAGAGACGAATTTTGACCCAGTCTCCTACGCAACTTTTTTAAAGCCAAATAAGGAAGCGATAGTGTCCCCAAAACAGTCCCAGAGTGCAATTCGATACAACACTTAACCAGTCTCGGGTCCGGTGCTCTTGAGAGTATCCGCGCTTCTGCTATTGCCCACCAACATCGATTCTATGTAAGAAATTCGTTTGTGTCCTCAAGATTTCATTTTCAGTCTCACAATGTTCTGTCATTGACTTGATATTGTCCCCGGTGGAGATTGATAACCAGGTATTTCGCTTTGCGGTGCTGAATTATACCTTAAATACGGCGATGGATAAGGTACGCTGCGATGGTCACGTAATGGTGGAAATCCCCGATACACGGAAGTTGATGTCCCGGGCGAGGTAGGGTGGGGATGTAGTAGCGGTGACGTAATGGTTGGACTTATGATGGGAGTACACGAGGGAACTGTTATGGAGGGGAGCGTTAGCGAGGGAAGAACACGGCCCATGGGTATCAAAGGTGACGTCACAGTCGCCATGGATCCTAAAGACAAGAGCGTGGAAATCGTGAGTTAAAGGCAAATAATTTTTAAGTTAAAAGCTTTGGATGATGATTTTATGGAAACAGGAACGTTTTATTGTTGGTGCAAGTCCACATCAAAAGCTGCCCCAGCCGTTTTCCTCATTCTACCCAAGCCATTTACAAAAGGAAGGACTGGCCAACACGAACCTGTTAAGCTTTCTCCTTCTTCACTCCCAGAAGCACAAGACTTAGGAGAGAACACCTCTCCTTGAATCCGAGACTTTGAACTTGGTACCATGTTGCCGGGTTCTACTTGCTTTATAACTTCTACCACGCTAAATAATTAGAAGAAAACCCAACAACAATCGATTACAATGTCATCCTATTGATTTTTTTAAAAATAAATTTTAGTTTGTTATTTATCTATATATTTATGTAACACCTAAGAGCTTAGCCACCTTTTTGACAATGTGTACGCATCAAACAAATTCAAAAACATTAATACCAAAGCTAGGTACCGCCCTAAAAAGTAAAACATTATTTTAAAACAATATAAAATTTAACCTAAGCAAACTTTGTAGCATTAATGCCAAATTAGGAAAGAAAAGAGGACGGAATAAATTTTTATCAGTTGCAAGAAATTTCTCCCGGAGACAAATTCAATGAAAACACTGGTGGCTCATTTGATAAAACCTGAGGTCATGTCATCATGTGAAAAAATTCGGCTGCACTCGCCCTAGTCTCTGTAAGGCTTCTTCCCGGGCCTTCTCGGTCAATGCATTTAGGTGACGCATAGGAACGCATAGGCCGCGCGGAATAATGAGGCCTAGGCACTAGGCAAGTACTTTCCCAGCATTTTGTATTCGAAAGAACGATGTCGGTGGTGCGCAGGCAAGGTGGCCGCTGAGCTTGAGACTATTGACTCGATTAGCTATGCTATTTTCGAGTGGGACATTAATTTAAAACACGAATTTCTTGCAGCATGTTGTGTACATGAAAGAGTGTAGGTAAAGTGTTTCAACCAGGCCACGCCTACCAGTCATCCGGGTCACAATCACGAAATCCTTTAGCGAAAGGGTTACTAGCTATCTTCAGTTGGGTTATCTGCGAAGAATATAAAACAGTGCCAATAGTGACCAACATCAATTTTCTCCTAACGATATCCAAACATTGTCAAGAAATACGATTATGAGAATTAACAAAATGATCAGCACAGACAAAATGTCTTGATCTGTTATCAAATCCTCTCAACTCATTCTTTAAGGAAATGGATGAGATCAGTTTGGAGAATTTGTATGTGCATGTTGGTACGTAAAGGGTTAAGAACCCCTCTGTAGGGAGTAGGGACGGTAACCAGTAAGGTGTAGAGTAGGAGCTATAGAACCGTACTGAGCCTAGAATGAACATGGTGTGGTAAAGGATTACGAGCGGTTTAACAATAGTCCCAGTGCATACCAACTCTCAATGATCTGATACAACCATTGTCTGACTTCTATATTTCAAAATTCATTTACTCAAAAATTGAACAGATCTTTAAACAGTTTGAGTGTAAGAATCATCTTGTAAAAAACATAAAACTGAGGTCTACAGATCAAACAATATTTCCCACAGTTTTATTCATCTTCCGGTAACTATGCATTCCCCTGGCTGGAAAGAATTTTGAGAATGGTTAATGAGCTACTGGCTAGACACTCTAATCCTTTTCCTCTGGAATCAATGTGAAGGAATCGAAAAGGACCTACCATGTGGTTTTGATAAGCCGTTACAGCCATGAATTGCGTTTCAGGAAACACGAAGGTTTTTACATGTTCCGTACTCGCTCTTAGAGCACTGGTCATCGTACTCTTTTCTTGGTTGTCTAGTACAACGTGAAATCGAGGCTGGTACTTATGCATGGAGTTGAGTATAATCTAACAGCAAAAACAACAACAAAACGGTCATCATTCATTGTTATCGTAATGATCATCATTAACGTTATCAAGAAGAGGTTGGTGATCCCTTTCTTATCTTCAAAGTTTTTCTGCAGAACAGCCTGGAATGGAGCCAAAAAGGAAGACCGCAAAGGAAAGAGATTTTAATGACGAAACCCTAACAGTGAAGAGCACGCTAAAAGCTCTGAAACTGTGCATTCAAGGAAAGACGTCTGAAGACTCTTAACGACAAATGCGGGCCCTTCTTCGCAATCTGTTTTGCCTTCTTTATAAATGATCACATACTTGGACAAGTTGCTAATTTTCAAGGCGATTTGATGCCTTTATAATTTAGTAACCTGACAATTAAGCATTTTGTTTTTGGACATTGCAAGGTTAGTTAGACGAGAGTTGAATACAAAAAAAAAAACAGCAGTAAACTGAAGAATTTGAATTAGTTAGAGAGGGAAATAAAACCTAATTATGGTAGCTCAGTTAACGTATGCCGGTCTGTAGGTAATAACAAGGTGATAGCACTGGGGGTACATATTAATGAATACTTTACAACAACAGCAAGGTAATAACGATTAGAAGATAAGCAAAAGAAATGTCGGGTTCGGTTCCGCTTGAGCATACGTGAATTCGTGGCAAAAACTTACTACGTACTAAAAGGAAAAGCGCGTCTGGGTGCCGGGCGGATTAAAAAAATTCAGAAAGGTTGAGCCGGAGGCTTGCCATGCGCCACACATATATATTTATGGTTTCAAGCATCTCTATCCAATATTGAGGCTCTTAAGTATTTCTTAGGGGACTCCGCAATAGAATAGTCTAAAACTCTATTACGTTACACTAGCACGCCGCGTCAAGCCCGCGCCGGCTATCCTATTCGTCTCTATGCATTGTGGGTTTCTTATTTAAGGTAAGTTCCTCTTCCCAATAGCGCGCTATTGGGAAGAGAGTACCCCATCTCTTATTAGCATTACAGGCATTGTTTGCGGATGGCTGCATTGAGAATAGATCACACCTTTATCACAATTGCAAGCAAAAGGACGGACTGCGGGCCCCTCCCCCCCTTCCTCCAAATCCACGCTTCTCTCCAGCCAGAGGGTGTTTTGATCCAGTGCTATTCACTGGCTCAGTAAAATAAACAGCTTGAAAGACCGGATAGGGTGAAGAAATTTCAATAACCGGTGAATTTGGTTTTTACCATAACATCCCAGTTAACTAATATAATGTTTGGCTGTCTAACTATCAGGTGATCTTATCATATCCTGCTATTTTCTTATCTTAGCTAAAAATTTAAAAAAACCGAGCAACACTGATTTCGATTTTTAACTAACGTTAACCTACGCCAATACGAAACACCACATACATGCCCATTGTCGTCCATCAGGTTGTTTGTGAGTTTAAGTTTGTCAAAAGACACGACTTGTTTCATCCATTGCTGTCCAGTTAACCCAACAACAATCGATTACAATGTCATCCTATTGATTTTTTTAAAAATAAATTTTAGTTTGTTATTTATCTATATATTTATGTAACACCTAAGAGCTTAGCCACCTTTTTGACAATGTGTACGCATCAAGCAAATTCAAAAACATTAATACCAAAGCTAGGTACCGCCCTAAAAAGTAAAAAATTATTTTAAAACAATATAAAATTTAACCTAAGCAAACTTTGTAGCATTAATGCCAAATTAGGAAAGAAAAGAGGACGGAGACAAATTCAATGAAAACACTGGTGGCTCATTTGATAAAACCTGAGGTCATGTCATCATGTGAAAAAATTCGGCTGCTTCTCGGTCAATGCATTTAGGTGACGCAGTCGGTGACGCATAGGAAGGCATAGGCCGCGCGGAATAATGAGGCCTAGGGACTAGGCAAGTACTTTCCCAGCATTTTGTATTGAAAGAACGATGTCGGTGGTGCGCAGGTAAGATGGCTGCTTAGCTTGAGACTACTGACTCGATTAGCTATGCTATTTTCGAGTGGGACATTGATTTAAAACACAAATTTCTTGCAGCATGTTGTGTACATGAAAGAGTGTACGTAAAGTGTTTCAACCAGGCCACACCTACCAGTCATCCGGGTCACAATCACGAAATCCTTTCGCGAAAGGGTTACTAGCTATCTTCAGTTGGGTTATCTGCGAAGAATATCAAATAGTGCCAATAGTGACCAACATCACTTTTCTCCTAACGATATCCAAACATTGTCAAGAGATACGATTATGAGAATTAACAAAATGATCAGCACAGACAATGCCTTGATCTGTTATGAAATTCTCTCAACTCATTCTTTAAGGAAATTTGTGAGATCAGTTTGGAGAATTTGTATGTGCATATTGGTGCGTAAAGGGTTAAGAACCCTCTATAGGGGGGTGGGGACGGTAACGAGTCAGGTGTAGAGTAGGAGCTATAGAAGCGTACTGAGCCTAGAATGAACATGGTGTGGTAAAGGATTACGAGCGGTTTTACAATAGTCCCAGTGCATACCAACTCTCAATGATCTGATACAACCATCGTCTAATTTCTATATTTCAAAATTCGTTTACTCAAAAAATTAAACATGTCTTCAAACAGTTTGAGCGTTAGAATCATCTGGTAAAAAAACATAAAACAAGTCCACAGATCAAACAATATTTCCCACAGTTTTATTCATCTTCCAGTAACTATGCATTCCCCTGGCTGGAAAGAATTTTGAGAATGGTTAATGAGCTACTGGCTAGACACTCTAATCCTTTTCCTCTGGAATCAATGTGAAGGAATGGAAAAGGACCTACCATGTGGTTTTGATAAGCCGTTACAGCCATGAATTGCGTTTCAGGAAATACGAAGGTTTTCACATGTTCCGTACTCGCTCGTAGAGCACTGGTCATCGTACTCTTTTCTTGGTTGTCTAGTACAACGTGAAATCGAGGCTGGTACTTATGCATGGAGTTGAGTATAATCTAACAGCAAAAACAACAACAAAACGGTCATCATTCATTGTTATCGTAATGATCATCATTAACGTTATCAAGAAGAGGTTGGTGATCCCTTTCTTATCTTCAAAGTTTTTCTGCAGAACAGCCTGGAATGGAGCCAAAAAGGAAGACCGCAAAGGAAAGAGATTTTAATGACGAAACCCTAACAGTGAAGAGCACGCTAAAAGCTCTGAAACTGTGCATTCAAGGAAAGACGTCTGAAGACTCTTAACGACAAATGCGGGCCCTTCTTCGCAATCTGTTTTGCCTTCTTTATAAATGATCACATACTTGGACAAGTTGCTAATTTTCAAGGCGATTTGATGCCTTTATAATTTAGTAACCTGACAATTAAGCATTTTGTTTTTGGACATTGCAAGGTTAGTTAGACGAGAGTTGAATACAAAAAAAAAAACAGCAGTAAACTGAAGAATTTGAATTAGTTAGAGAGGGAAATAAAACCTAATTATGGTAGCTCAGTTAACGTATGCCGGTCTGTAGGTAATAACAAGGTGATAGCACTGGGGGTACATATTAATGAATACTTTACAACAACAGCAAGGTAATAACGATTAGAAGATAAGCAAAAGAAATGTCGGGTTCGGTTCCGCTTGAGCATACGTGAATTCGTGGCAAAAACTTACTACGTACTAAAAGGAAAAGCGCGTCTGGGTGCCGGGCGGATTAAAAAAATTCAGAAAGGTTGAGCCGGAGGCTTGCCATGCGCCACACATATATATTTATGGTTTCAAGCATCTCTATCCAATATTGAGGCTCTTAAGTATTTCTTAGGGGACTCCGCAATAGAATAGTCTAAAACTCTATTACGTTACACTAGCACGCCGCGTCAAGCCCGCGCCGGCTATCCTATTCGTCTCTATGCATTGTGGGTTTCTTATTTAAGGTAAGTTCCTCTTCCCAATAGCGCGCTATTGGGAAGAGAGTACCCCATCTCTTATTAGCATTACAGGCATTGTTTGCGGATGGCTGCATTGAGAATAGATCACACCTTTATCACAATTGCAAGCAAAAGGACGGACTGCGGGCCCCTCCCCCCCTTCCTCCAAATCCACGCTTCTCTCCAGCCAGAGGGTGTTTTGATCCAGTGCTATTCACTGGCTCAGTAAAATAAACAGCTTGAAAGACCGGATAGGGTGAAGAAATTTCAATAACCGGTGAATTTGGTTTTTACCATAACATCCCAGTTAACTAATATAATGTTTGGCTGTCTAACTATCAGGTGATCTTATCATATCCTGCTATTTTCTTATCTTAGCTAAAAATTTAAAAAAACCGAGCAACACTGATTTCGATTTTTAACTAACGTTAACCTACGCCAATACGAAACACCACATACATGCCCATTGTCGTCCATCAGGTTGTTTGTGAGTTTAAGTTTGTCAAAAGACACGACTTGTTTCATCCATTGCTGTCCAGTACAGGGAGAGTCGGGATGAATGTGTACTCTCCCGGGTACACTAGAGTCTGCTTTACCTGCCACCAGCCACTTGGAACTGTGGAACGCGTACCTGTAACGTTTGTCGTCCACTGAGACAAAGTCCATCATAAGAATGTATTTGGCTGTAGGGTCCAGTCCGTGAAGTCTCACTTGGAACGGTGGAAACATGCGCCTGTGGAGAAAAGAAAGATTTAGAGGACAGTTCAGAGAAGTGTTCATCCTCAACTCGCAATGTCGTGCACTGTTCGGGAAACCAGCGATACAAAAAGAAAATGATCGCGCCATCTCAGCTCATTAACTTCTAATAAAACTCAGTTGTAGAAGAGTGAAGCACTGAAGTCTGTTATCATTTACGGTTATCAAGCTAATTTAGCCAGCACTGAAAATATTCCAAACCGACTAACGTTTTGGGCGTTGACGCTCTTACCATTCGAAGGCTGTTTGTCATACTATTACTTCAGTTCAATAAAACGATGTATGTGAAGCATGTAACATAGAAGCTATTTTGCTGATCTAAAGACATACCATTTGTGTTAACTCAAAGTAAAGATGACCTGGTTAGCTGTTTAATATCGTTTTATTTTACAAAAACACAGAGGAAAAAAAGCTATTAAATATGTGAAGAGGTTCATTCAAACAAAGTTAAAAGGTTCACGAAGGGTTCACAAAAAATGGCAACAACAAAAACAATGGCAATCACTGATATATAGGTTTATGGGAACTACTTCTCTGCTATATCAATTGATATAAATCATTCATAGGATAAAGATGAAACATCATGTCCAGTATGGAAAACCTACTACTTTACATATTGATTAAAAATGTTTATTTGCTGTAGACAAAGGTAAACAAAGACATGCGGAGAGAGACATGCGTTCTAGATGATCGTCAAGAGGTGGCCGAGGGTTTCTTTGAAAGGTTGAGCCACAAGAGCTCAGTGAAACCGATATAGACAGTTTGTTCTACGCAAAAATTCAAGTATAGCGAATTCTCTACTTTGGAACGGAAACTGCCACCCAAACATGGGTCTCTATGAGCCTCAATAAACCAAACCGGTAACACTAATTTAAAAGGGCGGTATAGACAGAGGCAATGGTATTATCAATCTTGAGGTCTTGGGCAATCGAACCCCATAACTTATACAGCCGAATAGTAAACAGTAATGCCACTTAACTGAAAGGAGATAAACCTTCACTTGCATATCATTCCTAAACCACAAAGATTTTCACAGATAATTCAGGTACAAAACCATAAAAAAAAATATCACTCAACTGCAGACTACTCAAGTATTCTTAGTGATAATGAGGATATCCTCTACAAACTCATAAGTCACTATAATAAGCTTAACCTTGCATAAGTATGGCCATGATTTCTGTGTAAAACTGTATAACGATAGAGAATCAGTGTCTGTCAAGCTCAGGACAAACTATTTTAGCTGCAGCGGGTAATACGTCTTTGATTTCTATTAGTACAGGGCGTTAACCTTTCAACTCTACTGAAACAATAAACGAAAATAGAACGGAAAAGTAGGCAGCCAAATATATAGACTTGCTACAAGTCGACCTCACGAGTTTCTTACCAAATATAGTTTGATGCAGAATTTGAAAATCGGGCAACTCAGAAACAGTGCCAAAAGAAGCCCAACTGTTGTCCTTCTTGTTGCTTTTTTTTTTGTAGTGCCCCGAAATAACCCTTGCTTTAGCCGCGAGGCATACTTTATTCCGCGAAGTATATTAATAGAGAAATACCTTGTGCAGCCTGGGCCATATTCCCTCCTAATATGGCCATAAATCAACTCAGGAAAAATGCAACATTTAAAATCGTAGAATACTACAAAAGACATAAAATGTCAGACGAAAGGTCGGCTGAAGAGATTGTATTTGAATGGTCACACCATAGGAATTCTTCCAGAAAATCAAAAGATAGACTGACTTATTTCATGTTGTCATTGTCAATTCCGGAATTTAGAGGGCTGAGCTGAAGTTATAACAAGGTTTCCAAAGTAAGGTTTTTAGCTTGTCTCTGTTTGGCTGCTATTGAAAGCACCGGGTTGCGGTGGCGTTGTAGTAGTCGTACCTCCACTTAATGTCTTTCGATTTCACGTTTGGCCCAATTTAAACGCATGCTTATCGGCGAATGGCACTTCCAAAAGGCTTGCAATGAGGCGCGTCCTCATTCTGCCTGGTGGTTTAGAGATACACATTTTCCGGTTAAGTCATTCTTTTATCGCATGCTAAAGTTACAGCAACTTGAACCTGCGATGCTCAGGGGAGCCAGTCAGTAACACAGCACTCACACGAGGAATTCACTTAACTGGTGAGACGCAAAACGCATGCAACTGAGTTCTTTACGCTCATTGAGTTTACGAGAACTTCTTTTCTAAGAACGTTGAGGTAGACTATTGACCAAAAATACATACAAAAGAAAAGGAGTGAGACCTAAAAAATAGTGATTTAGCTAGAAACACTTATAATAACAGAAATTTCTATCAATTTATTAGTTTTTATCTAAACGTAGCAAGGCACAGCACAAGAAGCAGCTTAAAAATAAAATATTGTAGAGTTCAAGGTATTGTTACGTTGCCATTCTAAACTACATACAGCTTAAGTAGTAGATTGGGGACTTATAACAAACTATCATAGCCTTATAACTTAGAAACATGCTAAGAATGTTTCAGCTCAAACAGGAAAGCACTAAGAATATT